AAAAACAAAAGATAAAATAAAAAATAAATTGCAAGAAAATTAAGAAAATTTCGAAATAAAAATAAAAATAAATAAAAAAGACACAACAAACCGAGAAATATGTACAAAATTACGTTGCATAGTAAAAAAAAAAAAAAAAAAAAGAAAAATTGTACATGAATGTGTTGAGGCATTTACAAGACTTGTCAGTGCAAAGGAAGATATATATGAAGCATACGATAACTTTGTATATATATATATATATATATATATATATATCTGTGTCAGATGTAAACGCGCGTATACAACAGCGTTGTGTGTACGAATTTTAATGTTTTCTATACGGTTTTTATGTAAAGTGTTTTGGTTTAAAAATAACATTACAAGCAGAGAAAATTGTTTTTAATTTTAACGTATGCATGCGAGCATGATGGGCACCCTCTCAGCTGCTTTGAATTTATCTTTAGGCGCGTAAAAGTTGTTTTTTTATTTTTATTTTTTTTATTTACTTATATTTAGCGCAATAGCAAACATACTGGATTCATAAGATTATTCAAAATTGCATATTTGGTTATGAAAAATTGCATTGATGAAGGGTAAGCATTACATCTGTTAAAGTCATCTCTTTAAGTCTAAAATGACTGACACAAAAAATCTAATATGGGTCTTATTTTGTGGTTAAAATAAGGGTGTGTAATTTTCGATATAGAGTGGATCCATATCCCACAATTACTTATGTGCCCATCTGCGGTGCTTTCTGATCATAAGCGTAATGCGAATATAAGGGTTATCAACATTTAGAGTTGCAATGGTTTCATTAAATGCAGGCGTCTTGATCAGTAGCTGATCTTAAAAAATTGAATGGTTACGCCTCCTGCAGATTTTGATCCAACTTGGAATTTTTTATAGTGTAGGTAGGCCCAATTTTTCCACTGAAAATTTCCACAAGATAAGTAAATATCTGCATCGGGTTTCCGATCAGAGTCAGCGCTAGTGTTAGTTTTAGTTCGTTCACTATTGTGAGAAGATCACGACCATTTCAAGACTTGAAGAATAGCTATCAACTGAGGGGGCACGTATCATAATCCTTTCCATCTAATTTCGAGCAACCGTACACCTTGGAATCGTTGGTGACAAGTAGAAGGAAATAAATGCACATAACATCTCATCATCAACATAGCGTCATACAACGCATAGATTTATTTATATAAAGTCCCTAATAAATACTTATGAACGTTACAAGCAAAAGCTTCAAGATCATATGTACACTTATTCTTCCGCGATAGATCTAATTGTGTTTATTTTTATTTTATTTATTTATTTTTTATATATGAACAATCATTGAGAGAATAATCCCAACATATGTGAGACGTTGAAGGTCACAAAATAGCATAGCAAGAGATAGGAAGTGACACCAGCCGCAAGAGTAGCCTTTTAAGTACCAAGGCAGTGCTAGTGGCTTCAAATCTCGGTGCTGTAGGTTTCACTTTGATCGCAGAGTACTCATACTCATCAAAGCATAACAACTACCGATTTAATACGCACACACTGGGCTGCAGCCACTTCCCCATGTCTCTTTCGTTTTTCTCTTTTCTTTGTGAAACTATCCGTGTTACACGAATAGGGGACTTTCCCTAGTGTGTGTGTACCTGATTTGAGCTTTACGCTACGACCAAGTACGATCGGACCGCATTGAAACGTGAACCTTCGAACACTACTTAATAGTCGCGACTCTTGTTCACTCGGGTAAAAGGCAGCCCCTTAGTACAGTTTACAACTTACTGAGAAATTGAATTGCCGAATCTTTCTGCGGCTTACCAAGCAGGTCAAGGCCTATCAAAATGATTTATAAAATCTACCCTTGTATCACAGAATTTAAAGCAGCTACGAGAGTTTACAAGTATTTGGTGATCATTTTAGGATTCTAGATACAGCAAAGCATCTCAAACCAATTCAAAGAAAGTGATGGGATACACAAGATCTTGAGCTAAACGCATAGAAAATTGGACGAGTGCCATACAGCTTTCACTTTCTAGTTGGGGCTGCCCAGCTAATACAACCTTATAACGCGAACCTATGTTGTAATAGTCATAAAAACGTATCAAAAGTTTATTTTCTCTTTAAACGATATCTCCGACAAGTGCTGCCAAGTCATGTAAAAACATGATGATATACTATTTGCCAAATATACGGAACGTTATTTCCGTTATAGATCTTCGTTCTATCTTGTCAGCTTGATTTTAGGTGGGTAAGTCCCTTTTCTAAGCTTGGCCTGTAAAATGCAATCAGAAATATGTGAGCCAAGTATTAATTTTCTATATAAGAATTCCTGGTTAAATGGACGGGTGCGTCTGATGGGTGTTCATTCTGTTTTTACCGCATATTTTGGTCTGTTGCAAATGACATGATAAACTTAATACGCCATTAATTTTCTAACTGATGGATGTAAGAATTGATTTTTCTTTTTTTTTTTTTTTACGGTAAAAGTAACTTTGATATATTTTTAAGAACTTCTTACCAAATTTATTTACTTCGTAGACTAGTTTAATCAGAAACATGGTATAAATAAAATATGTATATGTGTTGGAAACAAAAAAAAATAATACAAATTTTATAAATATATCTACGCATAAATAGCTTTATTTATAACTTTGTGTGGCCCACTATTTTACTGCCAAAGCAACTACAAAACAAAATGCCAAACTGAAGAGTCATTCAAAACAATAAAGAAAAAAAAATAAATAAATAAATACAACTTATGGCTCAACTAAAAGAAAAAAGTTTACAGCAGAAGAAAACTTAAAAAAAAGTAAATAAATAAAAAAAAGAAATAATGCTGCCCTAATGTAAATGAAATGCAAAAAAAAAACATACACATACATACATATGTTCGGCCTAAAATATATATAGTATATTAATATTTACGAATAGCTTGTGTAATATATTTGATGGGTAGAGAGGGCATCCAAGCCGTTTACTCATATCTCGTATAGTACATATTGTATATCGTATATTTTTGAACCATCAGTAGTTTGCATAAGATATTTGGACGGGGCATACGAGTCATTTGTTCGTATATTGTATCGTAAACATGTCGTGTATGGTGTATATTTGAATCACAAATAGTTTGTATAAGATATTTGATTGCTGGAGGGATGACTTATAAGTTATTTGCCCGTATTCCGCGTCGTATATGTTATATAGCGCATATATTTGAAATTTTATTTTCTATAAAATTTGGCAGCACTGTTTTTCCAAAAATACATAAACGCATCCATGCATGCATGCATTCCGTTAAACAAGGTCTAAACCTCAGTTCACTTTATCTGATTTTTGAACTTCACCCGAAAGAGGAAAGTTAAGATTCAACCCAAAAACCCATTCTGGAAACCCTAGGGTCTTTACTCGTTATGTTAGGAATAAGTTGAATTTTGTTCTGTCGAACGACCCCTTGAGATTGTGAAATTAACGCCGAAGGTTGGCCGTCAGGTGGAGGCATAAACACAAAACAATTTTTTTCTCTATCCACCTTCGAGTAAAGAATGTATTTTATAGAACCGCATCTAGGAATAGTTCTGGTGGCTTAATGACAAAAGCAGAAGACGTCTTCTATTCCAAACCCATGAAATGATTCCACTGAGTTTTTAAGTTATATTAATCCCAAGCAAAGATTTGAAATCGTAGTTGACGGTTTATTGAACCTTTTTTGAGAGGATAATCGTAAATGCCGCTGAAAGAGGAATGGCGGGACATATGGGCGACCACATAGACGGACGGTAACAGCGGTCTGATTGTTGCCCTTCATTAAAAATGCGCAAATCCTTTTAGGTTTCAAGTGAAAATTCCCATTAATTATAAGCTTTTAAAATATATTCTGCTTAGTTGATATAATGACACAGCAATTATGCGATACATGACGGCCTACATATTACCTTTCTCAAAGTCTAATAAGTAGAGCCATCTTAAACTCACTATAGTCGGTCACGGCTCATCTTTAAGGATTTTACACTGTTATATATAATATGACGAGTTTTCAAATTAATTCAAACTCAAAGGTATTATAGGAGAAGTGGCCGGGAAAGTGGTCTTACCCGAACCACTTTCAATCGCGTTCGTTCTTGAACCAAAACTGATCAGTGATCCAAATTTTTGAAAAAATTTCATAAATAGCTGCCTATGGGTTCAACAACAAGAAAACTAGTTGGAGAGAGGGACAGACATACTTAAATCAATTTAGAAAATGATAGTAAAAGGTGGGTGGGTCTAACCCAAGACCGTCCGGGTGCTTTATAAATCCGCAAAGGCTTAATATGCCCTGGTGGCACTGGTGGTACAGTGTATAAAAAAAGGCTAACTTTGCAGATTTGCGCTAAATCTTCGTTGATCGCAATGCATCAAAGAACATTTTAAGAACATTCTTCTTGAAAAAAGAAAATTCAATCAGAAGGACGGACGGACAGATATAGAAAATCCACACTGTCCATATTCATGTTTATCGATATAATGCTTAACCAGGATACTATATATTAATGCTTACACAATCACTGCAAACTCCGCGTAAATTACAATAACGACAACAACACACATATGCTAATGTTTGGCTTATAGTAGTTAACAAACATGTTAAACATGCTCGCGTACAAAACGCTGAAACTAGAAAAATATTTTCAATGTTCACAAAACGATATTAAGTGCAATAATAATGTTTTGTTTTTAGTTCGATTAGTAAATCTTATGTAAATACATTAATAATAATATGCCTGTATTTGCGCAATTTATTTATTTAGCTTGAAACAATATTTACACAGAGTTTTTCGAGTGTTATTAGCATTAGTAAACAAATTTATTTACTACTCACGTAGATAAAATGATTTTTTTATGAACTATAATTGGTTCAATAAAAATATATGTGAAATAATATAAAAAAAAAAGAAAACCAAAACTATATTAAATTAAATATTAATTTTTCTCATTCAATTAAATTTAATTGAATTGATATTAAATAGTGGCCAAAATAATTTGCTTATTGAAAACTTTTTAATTACTTGTAATTTTCAATCATCTCTTCTTCTCTTTTATGATTCAATTTAAAATGATACGCACATGTATGTGACGTAATCAACCAAAAAAAAAAAAAAAAAAATACTTGTCAACATAGTTTATTAATTAGTAAACAGATTGCGTTTGAAATTGTAATTGATTATCAAAGGGAAAGGATTTATTTACTATACATGGATGAGTGATTTTAATAAAATTAATTAACGTCAACTCAAAGCTACTCTCACTGTTATTCTCTCTCTCTCTCTCTCTCTCTCTCGTTCTCTCTCTCTCTCTCTCTCTCTCTCTCTCTCTCTTTCTCTCTGCACTACTCTGAGGCATAATCAATAAAAGTCTTATTTACTCTCAAGGTCATATCAATCATTTCATTTTAATTAAGATTTTTTTTCAATTTCCGATTCGATAAATTCGCTGATTTAATTTTAATTTCAATTTAAAATTTTTTTTAATGTTTTCTTACTATTGTCAAGTGAAGTTAGCCTAACGTATCTACAGGATGTTTTTATGTTTGCTAAAACTTGGGCTGGTTTCATGGTTGGTTCGGGTTTTTGCTAAGGTGAGTGCTCGCTCAGTCGGTGCAGGCAAAATACTTATCGATTGAGCAATGCACCTTCTAAGTTGCAGCCACCTCCCTACCTTTTTCCCTTTCTTCACGAATAGGAGAAACATACGCTGAAAACAAAAATCGTAACCTCACAAAATCCTATTGGATGTTCACTCTAGTGAGATTTTTACAATGGGAACTTGGTTTAGAGCTACACGGTAATTCTATTAGCTCCGTTGGGTTTCCTTCTTTTCTTTTTCAGTAAATAAATTGCTACCACTTGATCAGAATGTAATTAATTTCTTCAGAATGGCGAGAAATGAAGATCACATCTCTAGAACCATATCTCGGATCTCCAAGTCCCCCCTTTCCTGGCATTGTTACGAGTTAAACACATTGGCTATATAGCACCATATAATTAGCTGGGCATTTTTAAAAACCTTTTGCAAGGCCCTAAACCGTCGCCAGCACATGATGTTAGGCCTAGCGCCTAGATAACAAACGCAACAGCATAGTCAACTTCGACTAACCCTACAGTAAACTATACTTTGATCTCGGTCGTCATATAGCCGCAGATAGAGTGAATTTTTTGCTTTTAATATGATCAATCAATCAGAGGATGTCCGCTGTTCACTGTGGGGAAAGAGATACTCACTGCAGCTACAGACAGCACTTATTATAGCTTTGACCACGAACCTGTCGTAATTAAAAGGTTATCTCTATCTACGATCTGTAAAATTGAATCCGTACTATTCGGCTTGACAGTCGCCCTTCATTAATCTGTGTAAAGTTATATTTAAACATAATTAGCGCAGACATGAACCATTTGTTATATGTTGAAAGAGTTCTGTTAAAAGAAGACTGGAAAGGTTTTAAATCGAAATGTAGTTAAAATAGAACTTAACGAGAATTTTTTTAAAAACTATTATAATGAAAACGTGACCTTGTGCTCTTTTCATACTCCCGTAAAGAAATTCTCCGAGCAAAATTGAATATAAGCTGCACAAAATTAGAAAGGCTATTAATAGCAACTTCAAGCTGTGCTAGTTTCCTTTTTTTCGCAAACCATGGCTTAGCCACAGTAGCTAAGCAAACTTTCTCTTTTTCATCTCCATTTTTGGCACAGTACAAAAGCTTTTTCATATCAAGTTTTAATTGACATTGATAATATGAAGACATATTTTATTTATAATAATTTTTAAAAAATTCTCGGAAGGCTGCATTTTAACTATATTTTGAATTCAGTCCTTCTGAGACTTGGTTTAGCAGAATTTCGTATAAAAGAAAAGGGTTTGTGTCGTTGCTATTTACATTTAAATTTAGCTTCATACCCTTATTTTTTAATTACTACGACTACGTGGTTGCCATGCGTACGAATAGCTACGACCATAAATGGTTAAACCGCACTTAGATTTGCACTTACGAACACTGACTTGGTCGTCGCAACTCACCTAAGCAGTAGCTCAATATATAGTGATTGGCCGATCAGCAAAGATATAACACTTATCCTCCAAAGTTGGGACTTCAGTCTACTCTCCTTCTTTACTTCTGTCTCTCTTACCTTTACCATGTGCATGTATATGTACTTGTATGATGTATAGGAGACATTCCCTGAGAGATTGGTGATAAAAAAAAATAAAAATTAATTGCTAGGACTTCATAAGTGTTTTTCGTTCAAAAAAAAAAGTCGGATAATTTGCAAAAGTGATTAAAGATAGGGTTCTCCGATGAAATGATGGATTTTTAAAGATTTGAAGAATGAATAGAAAGCTGCGCCAAATTTCACAAACAGATTGCATTTAAGTCTATCTAGGGTAATGCTTCTTTATTTGTGTGATAAGTATAAGCACAAATCTCTGCCACTGGGTAAAGAATTGAATTTTCCAGTTGAAAATATGTATAAAGGAAAAAATAACTTGAAATTTGTTTTTCGCTGATTTAACGATAAACTCTTAACTGCACTGTCAATAGCGCATAAAAAAAAAGCAAAAATAAAAAACTTGCATAACTCTCATACGTAAAACTGAGAAAACAAACATCCATCATTGATAAGAATCAATCTAAACCTGAGACCGAAAAAAAAGCGTAAAGAATCATAAAAACGAGGAGAGAACAAAAACAGAAACAAAAAAAAAGAAGAAGAAGGAGAAGAAATAAAAGACAGCATAAAAATGTGCAGAAAACATTCTCTAGCAATTTGGTTATTTTGTTTGACATTTTTTGGTCTACAACATCAAGACAATCAAGTCAAACATACTGAAGCCAGCAAACAATACATAACAGCAAACAAAGCATTTTCAACTAAAATTCCAAAAATAACAACAACAACAACACCAACAGCAGCAACAATAAGAAGAACTAGTAGTAGTATCGCTAGCACAGCAGCATCAATTGGGACAACTAAACAAGTTATTGGAGATGTTTTGCAAATAGAAAATGAAGAATATGTTGAGTTAGCAGAAGACACAATAATACAATCGGAGAGTATTCCTGATTTAAACGACAATGAATATGATAACGATAATAATGATCATCATGATACTAACGCTTTAACCATATACCATTTACGAAATCAAATGAATGATGTACAAAAGAGAAACGCTATAAAAAGAAAATATTTACTACAAGAGCTATTGAGGCAACATGAGCAGACATTTAAAGAGACACAGCAAATTTATAACGATACCGGTGGTGGTAGCGATACTGATGATGATGATGATGATGATGATGATGATGATGATGATAACGATGATAGTGATGATGATGGTGCGAGTGCTGGTAATGAAGGGAAATCTATATTATTACCCATCAATAGCAAGTCATTGTTAAAATACAGTAAACATAAGAAAAATGTTGGCGACACATTGGCTTTTGATTTTAAACAAAACGTGCACCGTCTATTCAACAATACTAAAAGTAATGACAATCGTAGTCATAAAGAACTGCACGTCAACAACACTTTAGCATCATTGTTACCAGTTACGATTATAGGAGGTAAAGAACGGGCGTTTACGGCGCCCATTGCTACTACTACTACTGCTACAACTACGGCAGCAAGAAGTGCTAGCACTTATAGTCATAGTGCCTCTAAACCAACGACGACGTCATCATCATCTACTACATCTTCATTTAATTCAACTGATTGGCTGCATATTTTTAAGCATTCCACTCCTTTGGGTCGACGTCATATCGTGCCAGAAAAATTGCAATATACTAAAGAGATTACGATTAAACAAGGACGACTTATAGGTATCAGACGTACATTTCACGGCAGCACCGGTCTACGTGATGTGGATCAATATCTAGGTTTACCGTACGCTGAGTCACCAATAGGCAGTCGCCGTTTCATGCCGCCAGGTAAGAAGAAATATACATAACTAATACCTATCATGTACCTTTTATCGGCATCTCAATATATGTCGTTTTATTTCTCCTACGTATGTGCAATATTAAATGTCAGAGAGGTCAAGTATACGTCCCGTTACATATTTTACTGCTATTGAGTTCTTTTTACTTATTTGCTTCAATGCTTGCAACGTGGAAGTCACAAAGGTTAAAAGAAAAAAAAAAAAAAAAAAGCAAAGCAAAGGAAAAAACAAAATAAATAAATAAAAGGCAAACTAAAAAGTGTAACCAAGTGAAATAAGAAATAAGAAAGCCACTCTACCTCTAGAAGACTGCTTGCACGTACATTTTATATTTGCAAGAGAAATAAATAAACAAAACGTTTTCCTTTGATTTTGTTGTGATTCCAAAGCCAGATATACAAACACAATGCAATTATTAACCCTTTCTTTCTCCATTTTCAAATAAGTGAACTAAAAGAAACGGCATAAAACAGTTAAATTCTGCATCTGTGTTAGTTAGTGAAAATTAATTAAATTACGAGAATAATTCGAACAAAATATCTAAGATATGGCAATCCTATGACTGAAATCTTGAATTCTTGTTGTACCCTAGAACCTAAGTGAAAACACTATAGCGGGACCTGATCCATCATTAGGTACCCTACCCTATCCTACATTTATTGATTTAATTACTTTTCAAAATAAGATGCTATGTGGGAAAGTGATCGGGAAGACGTGCCGATCCGAAGTATTATCAGTAGCTTTCACTCTTGGTCCAAACGCTACCGGTGTGCCAACTATTATCTAAGCATATGAAAAATTGAACAAATGAAAATAAGATGGACAGACGGTCAGACGAGCTTAGCAGAATCATATGATGAATTGATCAGCATAATAACGTGTGTGCTCCAATCATATCCTTCTGGATGTTGCATACATTCACACAAACTTCATTAATTTGATTTTTTATTACAACGTACAATTGAGTTATTAAGTTATGCTACGGCTATATAGGAGGGGTTTCAAAATGTCGGTCCATCAGATCGAAATTTTCCTCATATACGGTAACACTATTGCTTAGCGACTTTTATCAAAATATTTAAAAAATTTTCAAACTTTTTTCCCTGTACCATTATTTGATAAATCAGCGTTGTGTTGGGAGTGGTCATAAAAAGGGTGCGATCCATCCCATTTTCAATAAGGCTCCTCCATGGGCTCTTACAAGTTAGTGTACAAAGTTTTAATAATATATTACAAAACTCGCCACCTGTGGGTTGAATACAAAAATATATGGGCAGAAGTCAGGCGGGCAGATATCCACTCGGGCAAAGATTCTGAGTTGATCGGTATGATAAAAGATGAATTTATCTTAGGCTCTTCTAAATGTTGCATACATCGGAGCCAGCTTAATATACCATATGCCAATATAGTGTATTGCATTATTGCTATACTTTGCAGCACTAAAAAAAGTAGGATAAGCACTAGTATATGGAGGTGTATATTATTTCACAAAATTAAAATCTCTCATGCGTTAATTATTTCACTTAAAATAACGCACAAGACAATGTAAGGATGATATATATTTATAAGATGGGACATATCGCTAGCGACATTTCATTAAAAAAGTCTGAAGCTATTATTATACAAGCATCAGGTAGAAAGGGAGTTCGTTAAAAATTAAAAGATTGTTACCTAATCTAATTTCAAAACTCAAAATAATCATAAGCATTTTCTACTATTGCAAAACTCGGTGCACGTTTTGCTTTAAACAGAAATTTCGAACAACAGTATAGACTTTGGCAAATGTTTACGGTTAAGCAATGGCATCATAGCTACAGATTTTCTAATTTTTCGATACTAACTGCAAATTTCAATATTAAATGCATGGAATTCCTTTGGTTTCCTAAATTTCTCTTTTCTATTGTTTCTACTGTGTTGGAGGGCTTTTTCTTTCCTTTTGAAAAAAATTTATTCCAGGGAAAATTGTACCTCACGCATTACGTTTTATTTACATTTCCATACATGCTCGATACCTATACTTTCTGCTCTTTGCCTTTTATGATTCACATGTCCCCTTTGCCAAGCAAGGAAAGAATTTGATTGACTTTTCTCTTTTCCATGAAATCTGTCGATTTGATGATACGATGTATAAAAAAATCTATGATATTGTTGTTCGATCAACTATAACGTCTCTATCGTGCCTATTATAGAATTTATTAAAAGAAATATTTTCTATATTCAGACTTGGTTTCATTTATCCTTACCTGACGACAATTACATGTATATATTATATTGTCAGACCGATAAACAAACGGAGAAGTAACCCCTTTGTTATGTTTCAGTTTATAAGGCAAACTTGTTATCAATTCCTAAATTTTGGCTGACTTGGCTAATAATAACAAAATATGCATGTAATTGTTTCTGGGCGACAATAAACCAAACAAATTTTTAATGTGTGTATTCATTGCATTCATGCATTATGCTTTTGAGACAAATATAAATTGTATAAGTTAAAGTTGTTTTCGGAGAAATTTTTCATTTAAATATGAACTTGAATTTTAATTTGAATTTGTGTTTTCAAAAGCATGCTGGTCAAGGATTCATGTTGTGTTATTCTGATGTCATATCATAGTCGACAAATAAACTTTCCTTTCTTTTAACCTGCAGAACTTATAGTGTAGTGGTATATTAAGTTTGAGCTGATGTTTGCCGAACCATTCTTTACTTTTTTTTTTTTTTCAATTCAAACATTCTGAATTGATCGAAACGTGTCTGTTCGTTTGTCCGCCTCTCTCTCTTTTGATTTCTTTCAGAATGACCTTCAGAATAAGTCAAAGTTTGTCTATCCGTGTCTCCGTCTTGTTTTCTTGTGCTTAACTTACAGGTCGCAATTTGTCAATTGCTTTGACAAAATTTCATACATCGACATGTTTTGGCCCAAGGACGCATGCTATTGAAAATTAATCGGTTTGAATCATTCTTTTGACCACTCCTCCTATAAAGGCTTATTTTAAAATATCATATGTGTCACCCCATTTGAAGGAATTCAGATGAAGTTAGTGTGGCTATAAAAGTCCGGAATAATGGTTTCTGTTTATACTTTTTTGTAAGCTTTGTTAAAACTCCACTTAACATAACTTTGCTTACAGCTTAATAAACCTCTTTCAAATTTCTTTTTTATGGACTACTGGTTAAATTTAGATTTAACTTTATGCAAATAATTTGTTTTCAATTATATCATAATAAAATGTAACAACCAACATTACATATCTTACTTTGCATTACGAATTTCTACGAGGTCTTATAATCCACTATTACTTTATGCTATTATATATCCTAGTATTATATATACTATAATAACACATTCTTTCTTAAACGTAACTTATATCGTAATCTGATATAAGTTTTAATAATCTGACATAACTTTTAAAAAGAATGCTAAGAATTTAAATAAGCTACCTATAAGCTTTAATCTTCTTAAACATATCGAAATCTATCGCAACCCGTGAATTGTTACCTATAAGTTATAGCTTCCTAAGCGACATTAAAATCTTCTCATATCTGTAGACTAAAACTTTTTAACATACATTCGGTTTCAAAGTTGCATTCGTTACTTTTACTTTCCAAAGAAAACAGATGTTAAGAAGACGATCAAGAAACAGCATTAAAGGAACTTTTTTTATGTTTTCATTATTCCTTGGTTATGAATCGAAATGCAAATCCACATAAGCACAATTACACTTAGTTTGCTTTCATGGCATGAATTCTGTCCAAAAAACCCATAAATGATATCCTGTTGTCTTAAGAAAGTTTCTCTATTTGTCTTTTGGGTCAAATAGGTAACAAAAAAAAAAAAAACTTGCATATCATTTCAATAACTTTCACATGCCACAGTGATTTTAATGCAAATAACAGTCCTATGCAAAATATCTCATGAAATAAATTATTCCGTGATATTGATAGTACAAATAAACTAATGATAATAAATTGTGAACGGACATGACAATATTTAAATGTGCAGAAATGCGTGAGGTTGACAAAATATATGATATAGAAGACGACATACAAAATATCTCGCATCATTAACCCATGTAAAACTCTAAATATCATTCAAAATGATATAAGAAATTTCGCGAGAATAAAGAAATTATAAATATCAGAGATAAGTTACTACAACCTCCGAACGGCCACACATTTTTATTTCAATTATACCACGGAACTCGTAACTATTATTATTATTGTAGTTAACAAAAAACAAATGTATTTAGTTTTTACGGTTGAAAATTTGTCTTCATGAAACCAAACCACATATTTGCCTTACGTTATGATCAAAGCTATCGATTTCATAAATAAAAAGAAAAAAGAAACGAACAAGTTTACTTGATCTGACTTGATCTTGACTTAGTTTCGACAATAAATATAAAAAATCTATACAATTCTTAACATTTACTAAACCTTATTACATATAGTATGTTCCGAAAAGTGATCTTTAAAAGTTTTCTCTTAAAAATTCATACCGTCAATGCATATTTTTCCTCTTAAAGGCTTCGGCATTGAAAGCAACGCATGTTCCCATTTTATTACATACCATACAAAGATAAAATATAACACATAATTTTATTAAAAGCTTGAAGTCAACTTCAGAGACTTGCACTTGCAAAGAGCGCTCTCAGACATGGTGAAAAGCTAATATATTTTTTACAATGGGCAACCTCGTTTTACCTAGAAGGATATGCTAAGATTATTTTGTCAAAATGCTAAGCGCTTTAGGATGAGGAAAACAGCTCTCTTTTATATCTGACCTTGGGAATACGGCATTGTCCGGAAAAATATGTGCATCACATTGTTTACTGTTTACAGCGGATCTGTTCCAAGCGCAGCTCCATGGCCGATCTGGGGTATTACAGCAGAAACAGTAGAAACAGTTTCAGTCTTTGTCTATCTCGATCAGACGTCTGACGGTTCTTTAATGTTTTTTTCAAAAGATTGCTTTACGAGTCACAAGTCTTT